TACGTATTCACTAGTTACAGGAAATACTGACATCGGATGACCTTTTTAACCAACCGGATGAGTCGATGAACACATATCATAGGCACCAAAACAATTACGCGATTTGTGTCTTGGTCTTAATCTAAACGGGTCTTGAGTGATTTAACAGCAACATAAAACATAGTCACAGTTTTTAGACACAAGTATATATATCGAGTCCTGATAATTGTTTTTATTAGGCAACGGTTTGGCGAAACGTTAGTGGTCTTTGAATTTTATTGTAACGTATAGAGAAGGATCGAAATTTTAGATAGGTATAGTTGCGAAAAAATAAAATTAAAGTGATTTTTACACTGTTGGCGACAAACAAATTTTATTGGATGGCATTAACTATAATTATTCAAGAAACTATGGAAGTTCATGATCGATTCATGGCACATCCTACTTAGTCATGTTATTTCCTATTATAACAAATCGAATGTTTCATTAAAAAAAAATATTTATTTAAAAATAGAAATATATTTACGTATGTTCAATTGTTTTAGAAATAAATTAAAATGGATCACATACGTATGGGTTAAAAGGGCGTAAATGGGTTAGAATTTTTTCCTAACAACAATAAACTAAAAACCTGAATAGCCGACATTAGCTTAGATCAACGTTAAACAACAGATTTTGTGTGCTGTTAGATTGGAATCTAATACTTTTGTACCGAAAAATTTCATAATCTTATCACGTCGCGTAGTATTTTTCTATTCGCGTGACGCAACGGCTTAATTAATTTAAACCATAAGGTTCATGTTAAGTTTAGAAGCAGAAACTTTAAGTTTGGACCTTAGTAAGTCCATACTATCGGAATATTTTAATTTTTGACGTGTGCTTAACGTGGTTACTTAATACATATTAAATTTCTTTGGGCCTTTATCGATTTTCGTATTTTAGTTTAATATAATTTCATCAAATGTATTCAACTGTGAAGCATACATTTTTTATTATGATAAACTAATTACTATTATTCTAAAATTTAATTTTAACCATTGGTGTCAATATTTGTTTACAATGATTTATTCATTAATTCATCACCCAACAAATTACCTAGGTAACCAAGAAAAAAAATATTTTTTTTCCGAAAAGAAAAATATAATTTAATTAAAAGTTTTGACTTTGAACTTTCTTTAATTTAACATGTCCAAAATAAATTAAAAATGTTATATTTAATATAATAATTTGCTTATATTATATTCTACTCACTCATTAATACAAGGTAGGTACCATAAATATTGATTCATAAATATCAGTTAAATAATATAAATATTAAAACTACAGGCCATAGTTGCTTTTTAGATATTTCGAAGGTCAAAAATAGTTGCAGAACTATTAATATTGGGGAAAATATGACAAATATTATCACTATTCATTACAATTATTTAAGTCTTCGATAAAGGTTCAAAATTTCAACTGCAAATAGAACTCTTTCAACATCAATCGGTTTCTTTATAATCCAAACACTTTAAAGACAATAATATTTTTAAAGTTGTAGTTTTTAACTATGTAGGTATACAAATTATTACTATATTATATCAAATATACATAATTTTCGATATCCTCGGAACCGAGGATTTTCTCCTATATCATAAAAAAAAACTTTGAAATATTGTATGGGTGAAACGCTTAAGACCTTATACCCTAATATTAAACGTTTAGTAGCAAATGGCATATGAATTGAACGGGTTACGCCCCCCCAATACGACGTCTGTGTTGTAAAAAATACTTTTCATATACAGATTTATCTTAGTATTTAATATTTCCAACATAAATATTATTATGTCACAATCGAAATATTATATATTTCTCTTGTCTGAAGTATCACAAAAATTACCATCATATAACCATATCATGTAGTAGGTACTAACGTCAATGTTATAAACAAGATTTAATTTTTTTTTAGCAATCCACAATCCAATAAAACCAGGGTTTTTAACCCGTGGTCCTTACTTTTTATTTTATTTGTTATTTGCGGCAGCGATTAGTTGTGTTTTCATTTGAACGTGTTCTGGTTGTTCTTGGTCGCATCTTAATCTGTAGGTACCGAACTTAAGTATAAAATTCCAATTTTTGAATACTTTTTGTTTTGTTGCATATTTAATGATATTTAAGGTACAATAGCGCATATTCATGCAATTTTAAGTGTTATAAAATACCAACCCTGGTAAGTAGAATAAGAACTCAAGTAGACGAAGTTCATCGACTGTGACACATGAACATTAGAATTTTCCAAAATCGGTTTTAACCGATAACTGATAACTGACAAGACTAAATCAACGGTTATGGACGATTAACCATTACCTATGTTTAAGACACATCTCCGTGTCGTGTCATGTTTTTAATGATCGCGTACCTTTGTGATGTGCATTTTTTATATTTATACCAAAATGCAATACTAATGAAATAAATGTTCAATATTATACCTTATGATAACATTTTATGATTTTTTGTAGTTTTCACTTTTCGGCACATAAATGTAACTACATGGACAAAAGTTGGTAACCATATGGTCACCACCTAGTTCAGCCAATCTGAGAAAATTATTTTACACATGACACGAAGTAGTGTGAACCCGACCGAAACGATTATCGATCACCACGAAATCAATCGTCGGTTTGAATGTTTTCACTGTTAACATAACTGATTGTTTTAGAAGCGGTTTTCAGCCTAGATCATCCAACCTTATAATCAGGGCTTGAAACCGATATTAGATACCGATTTTGAATACGGGTTAAAGATCCCCTCCCCCCCCCCCCCCCACACACACACACACAAACACACACGACAGACACACACACTTACAGCGATGGCGATACAATTGTTTCGGACACAATTTACCACCACCGCCAAGACAAATGAATTTTTCCGACACCACTACAGTGTGTGGAGACCACAAAACAGTTAGAATCCAAAATCGATATTGAAACTCAAAACAAAATCGGAAAAAATAAATACCGATATCCGAAACTGAAATCGAAATCGGAAAAATGTTTTCGGTTTCAAGCCCTGCTTATAAATTATAATAGATGGACTTCCCGTCGATTATTCATCGTGCGATCCTTATCACGGACGCTTACTTATGTATCCCGATGTCATTCTGTGAAGTGTGTGTGTGTAATACCTATACATGACATCGTTTTACAATTTATTGTGAAACTCAATATTGACAAATTATTTACCTGTTAACGGAATCTACAGCCTATAGCTCGTCTACTCCTGAAAAGAACAACGCGTGTATCGAGGCATTATTATTCATCCCGTTAGCCATCTATCCTATGATTAAAGTGTTTTTTTTTTAAATATTTTCGTGATATTTAAATATTTCCGAAACGGATAACAATTAATACTGCCCACGGACCAGTAGATTATATTATTTAGAGACTGCCCAAATACAAATTAAGTAGCTACATAATATTGCATAGCTCGAATCTGTCGAATATATTTGACATTTTTTTTAATAGTTGAATATAAAAATATTGTCTGAGACTGTCGAAACCTAATCCAATAAAATATGTACATTGTTCACAATTTTACTTACACAGAAGCATTAACGAATGCAGTTACACAGAAACGTTTGAAAGCATAAATATTATTATGGTATAAATTATATTTTAAAAAACATACACATATATATATATATATATATAGGTAAATAAATACTTACTGTAATAATATATACCTATGCTGGTACCTACATATGCATCGTACCACACAACCATCAAGTTTACTTTGATGCAAACATTACATAAGATTTGTTCAGCATTAAATATTTTGTCAAAGTGGTAAGTTAAGTTTGAAACGTTTCTTTAAGGTAATGCTTTAAAATGGTTTTTTACTTTTTGAATTGGAATTTAGCAAAATATTCGAACAAAAAACATAGGTTTTTGCTGAATATTATTTAACGAAAATCCAAATCCAATATTCGCATATTCAAAAATAATATCTATGTAAAAAGAGCGTATTCAAATTCAAATTGTCTTATTACGAATATTCTCATTACTATTATAAAATGTAGGTATGCATTTATATTATGTTTCTCATTTTTATTATTGATTTACCCATATAAAGTATTTCCATCATGGGTATTTATAGCATGTTTATTTTAAAATGTAAATGTACTTTTTTCCCGAAACTGTTTATTTTGAATATTATTGCTCACATTATTAAAGAACGGGCCACTTTACAGGAATAAGTCACGTATAAAATGTAAACAAAATATTTTTTTTTTCAATTTTTGGTAACCATTTTGATTTGTTGTAATATAACATTTTAAGTCAACAATATAAAATCGTCAGGTACCCTTTAAATATTTATATACTCGTTAGCAGATTCAACTCTTCAAACTACATTTTTACTCATTTTTGGTACTGAATAAATCGTATTTAACATAATCTCCCACAAAGTCATTAAAATCTAGAGTATATGAAAACCAGCATAAATAATAACATTTTTATTTATTTTTATTATTTATGTATACCTACTTTCTGATAAATATTTTACAAAGTTCATCATTTTGAAAATCTAGAATTTAAATGGTCAAAAATGTAATTCATAAATAAATTATTACAAATAATAATAAAACACGAATGCAATATTAATTTAAATATTGTCGAGTTACTGTATGTAATTATCAAGTAACAACATTGCACAGGCATATCATATAAGTATAATCTATATATTATTAGGAAATTAAATATATATTAAAAATAACATTTTTATGTACCTATTCGATATCTTTGTTTTTTACAGTGTGTGTAGTGAGACTGGAAAACTAACGTTTTTTCCTCTAAACTCGTACCTCAGAGTCGAGAATATGATACTATTAGCACTTTATTGTCATTTTTGATCACAATAGTATTATAAATGAAATACATATTGTAATCACGTGTTTTTCGTCGGCGCATCGGTCTTATTGTTCGCTTGTTATCACATATTATTGTATTTTATGTAAATATCTCGTCGTTTTTTTTTTTCAGATTCCGTCAAGGATTCAAGCAGTTCTTCTCTTTCGTGCCATGCATCAATGTGAGAACCGGTAGCCTGATCCGACGGGAAGTTGTCACCAGCAGGTACAGCTATAGCGGATCCCCGGACGCCCACTATCGGATAGTGCGCAACGGTAATAGAAAGCCCGGAAGGCGCAATGCGTTTTATGGCGTGCGCTGCATATATAACTGGTAGAGACCTGCACGGACGAAAACTGTTGACCCGATCCACCACGGCCCTCCCGACAAATTAAAAAAAAAAAAGAAAAAAAAATACATAAAAGAAAAAAAACAGCATTCGAGGAAAAACGCACTGTTGTTGAAACTTAAAATGTATTTTTTTTTTTTATGTTATAATTAGACCAGATGAACATAAAATAAAAATATCAAATCGAAAAATCACAAAATCATAAAATCTTAAAATCCAGGTGGAGCTCATTGGTTGGACTCTCTCAGAGTGTTGTGTGCAATATATCGAGAGCCTACTTTTTGAATTAAAACTTAATATGATATTCAAATACGACCTATCTCGAATACATATCATACTCCTGAAAGTTCCTCTGAAATCACTTTGGTATTAAACTAATTTAACCCTTGTAGGTCAGATGGAGAGTGAGTGGTTTCGCGTTTAATGGTGGCTGTGAGTTAGGATGATGAAAAATTATGCCATCAGGGTAGTCAGGTATTAATCCAACTTCAAATTCCTATGTACCTACAGAGCATTCTACGCGAGATGATTTACTAATTTAAAGCAATGGGGTGTAAATGTGTAATGAAATTACTAAATATTTCTGTTGCTGCCTGAATTATTTTCTTATGACATCTACAATAACTATCTTTTTCTGTATTTTTAATTTTTGGTTTATGTTTAACGTTCACGTACACTTCGTCACTCATAAAAATTAAAAAGTGTGAAAATTCAGTAATTTATAATATAATTATGAGTGTTATATGCTGCATATTTAAATGAATCTTATTCAATTTCAAATACTATGAATAGCTTTGAAATGTTACCGACTATTAAAGTAAAAACTAAGTAAATAGAAAAATATTTTGTTGATAAATAATTAATTCCAACTTTTATACTAAAATTCTAGTGTTTCCTTCGCTTAAAATGATTTATTTCAAAAACCGATATAATATGAAGTTAATCAAATAAAATTGTGCAACTGGACTATTTAAAAAGAAAAAGATCTTAATTAATTGTTTTAGTATTATTTTGTGATTTATAATATGAAAGAAAAAATACTGAAATGTGAATACTTTTTTTCTCTCTAAAATCACACATTTATGATATTGTTTCAGTATTGCAGTTTTAAATCTGCATATAGATATCATTCAAACTAAAATTTTAAATCTCTTCGTAGAAAATATAAAATTATTAGTCTGAATCATATAGTTTCAATTTTGATTGAACTTATATAAGCCATATTAAGATTATTCAATAAACGGCATACTACATACAATTTCTAGAAAATTATATTTCTCTACAAAAAAAAGTATACAAGCATATTACTGAATCAATTTATGAGCGATTTGAGAAACCGTTTTGAATTTACAACGTAATAATAATATTTTGTTAAAATAATTGAACGAAACGTCGGTTTGTGACAAAACAAAATATATTTTTAACACCTATTATATATTCTGTAATTTACTAAATATTATGTACATAAAACAATGTCCTTCTAGTTTTGTTTGTTGATTGTTTTTCCTTGCAAGTACAAATTGATTGCCTTGCATAGTACCGTTCAGACTAGGTTTTCAACATTAAGTAAATAATGAAAACCTCACATACTGTGCTAAAACAGCCTTATATTTATAGAACCAATTCATTACTCATTCAATTCAGGGTCTAAAATATCTTTGTAAGCCATTAGGTAATAAAAAATGTATAAATACGATGGTCGATATTTTTACTTTTTTGTCGTATTATTTCCAATCAATTATATATTTGTAGGGTAAATAAAATCATCATGCCGAAGAAAAATAACTTCTGTACACACTTTTCTACTATTGCATTCATATTTTTATTTCTAATTAAGTTATAAGTACTAGTGTAAAAAATGATGCTTAAGAATATATAATAATAAATGTAATGCAATAACAATTTTATTTCTTCCAGGAAATCTTTATTCCAATTAAAACTTTTTATAATTATTTCTACTTAAATACGTTTTAAGTTCGAGCAAGCCCAAGTGATATACATTTAACTATCACGATCAAATTGAATACAACGGGTATCTTACAATTGTTTTCTGTTTTATATTTAACTTGAGCGATAAACAATACGAAGTACAATGTACATATAGTATAATTATATATTATACATTATAACCCTATACATCAATGTGCGTGGAAAAAAATTAATCACCAAACACAACGTATTATCTGACATTTCTTCAAATGGTACTTATATTCTACAATCTTATTTATTTCCGTAACATTCTTCTTCAGATCAAAATTATTTTTAAATTATTAAGTAGTATAACATTATGTAGAATGAAGGAATGGGCTAGATGAAGATCAATATGATCGGAAAGTCAAAACTAATAAATTATAACAGTGGTAATTAAACCGATTGATAAGACAAAATATAACGATAAGAGTATAATTTTGAAGATTTATTTTCTATATAGACATGTTTATAGTAGTTGTAAACTCATAACTGAATATTTGAATAACATGAGTTATAATTAGCAACATTTTTTGTTATTTAAATACTTTGTAAATTTCAACACTTGTACAGGTAAAATTAATACTAATCCATAAATTAAAATTTAGAAATGTTCCGATTTATATAAAATAATAATTTGCGATATTGTAATATCCACGAGGTGTTAATATAAAATTCTCCATAATGGTTATCCCGTGATCAAAACGCAATAATATAAGAGAAAAACTTTAGACTCAAATTGAAATTTTTGACAATTTCCTGTTTTATAGCGACGTAATTTAGCTGCATGAATCATGTCTTCCTGTACATCATTGTATCTCAGAAAAATAAGTACCAACGCAAAATGCAATCAAAAAAATAATAAACAAAATTAATAAGGAAACCGTTCCATTCCAGTGGTACTTATATAATATAATAACAAATAATAATATACTGCTCTCTTTTGTATGATACTTATACACAAGAACAGTAGTTCATGTATATTAAACTCAGTATTTTTATGGCGTAAACGGTTTGTTGATTTCGGCTTTCACAAGAAACCATTCATTTTGAGATAATATATGAAGTGAGTCAAGAAGTTTAAAAGTTACAGTATCCTGGTAATTTTTATTTCCAAGAGATAGCTAGCAGATATTATTTAATATAATATGCCATTTTAAAATTTAATTTCCTTATCATCAAAGACTATAGAACGATAGATTCTTTCTGAAACGAAGTCAAAATTGAATTTTGTGACATTTTTTATTATTAATAAAAATTGTAACTTTATATTCATTATACCCTACTTAATATGTACATAACGGGTGAATTTTTAAAGTACAGCCCTTGTCTATGTTTTTAATTTTTATTTAATTTTTGATCTATTATCTATCATATTTATCATAGTCTAATCTCTGAAAGCATACTAAAGCTGCATATTTTTTTTAGAAAATAATGTCATAGAATTACAGTAATATTATATATATAGTTAATTCATTTTATACCATGGTTAGAGTTATATTATTTAAAAGTTTAAATGGATAAAGTAAATCAACACAAATTATCTGGTTATCTCCTCAACATTTAATTGTTTATTTAATTTTATTTATTTATACCTTTTTGTATTTTAAAAAGAATAATTAAAAAACCTTTATCATTTTTAAAAATATAATGGTATAAGTATTTTGAAGCAGATAAAATTGAATAAAATAACTGCAATAGCATATGAACTAATATTTTATTTTAAGTTAATAACTTTTGACATAATTTTCTCGATCCTTGAGCTTTTATTGAAATCCCTACGAGTGAATAGGCAACGCATTATGAGTAGAATAAAGTTTTTAAAAGTCATAAAGCTAACGCTGTTTCGGTCAAAGGAAACATAGACAAAGTAGATATATCATTTCGATGTTATATTCATTATAAGTTATAATAAATATTCACCGATAGTATATGAGATCAAAATGTTTATAAAATATTTGATTTCAAATTTGGATTTTTCGTTTTCCGATTTCTAATCTTAGAGCAAAATCTTGGATTTAAATTATAGTTTCACCGTTGATCCGGGTGGCAAACAATTACAAGTAGATACGTCAATATTGTCACCTTAATTTTAGCTAGGTATGTGTTTAATATATTATACACTTCCAGATCCAAAACTTTAGACCGTTTGGCACTTTACTTATAACAAAGATAGAAAACAAAGTTATGTAATCAAAATGACTTAGAAACATTAATAACAATATGAATTTCTAAATAGTAATGAACAGTAGATATATATAGAATTAATAATAAAAAAATAAATAAATAAATAGTCTGTCGAAAAGTGATAGCTATAAAAGACCGAAAAAGCAAAATTATCGAAATAAAATAAGTACCAAAAACACTTTTTATCGATATTAATTCTATATGTTTCCGAATAGAACATAATATTAATATTTGATACACCACTATATTGGCGGTTGTTTTTTGGTTTTGTTTTATTTTTATTATTTTTCAGGAATTCTCTGATCACCACAACGTGTTACGGTTCTTCCTTTTGGTATTAAAAGAATTTCTATTTAAGTCAGTTTTAAATAATTCATTGTTAGTAGTAGAGCAAATATATTATTGTATACACGGTGGCAACTGTTGATGATCCTATTATCTACCAAGGATTGTCTTGAGAATTCAGTGCTCGATCTTATTCATTCTCTCCAACACCACGCACGTTTGCCTCAGACTGACAAATGCCCGGTACATGATTGTGTTTCGACATATTTTTCTTTGACTGTTAGTCTTTTTTTTCTCCACTGAAACCGTTCGTTCGTATTACACCCCGAGAATATTATGTATGACCTGAATCTGAGATTTTAAGAGCTCATGACAATGATAGTCTAGCTCCTTTAAAGTCGTAGCCATTATGAGTCAATACATTTTTTTTTTTGTG